TGAGTGTCACTTTCTCAATTAAAATTTAAATTCATAGGTGACTAGGAAACTGATATAAATAAAACAAATCATAAATCTCACCAAATCCTTTCTCCCATTTCCTTTAGAAAACTAAAAAGTAATACTATCCAATGGTCTCCGTCTGGGAAAAAATGGATTTAAGACGTAAACTACAGGGTGGCTTTCAGATAACCCCAGTGCTTAGAAAAACAGAGCGGTGTTCCCACCTCTGGTTATAACTGGCTTTGAAAGGTGGCCATAGTTTCCACAGTTAATATCCCTGGTCTCTGTTACTGCTTCTGAAATGATCTGATAATTACTTACAGAGTTAGAAAAAGGAACACTCGTCAAGGATTTGGATTTGGGTTTTCCTCTTTCAGAGGATAAAGAAGGAAACAAGCTCTGTGGGATGAAAGGCTTGGCCGTGGAGACTACATCCGGCCATGCGTGGAGGCGGCCCAGGCCCTCTCTCTGGGGCTGAGCAGAGGAAGATGAAATATAGAGCAAGTGTGATGCTTCTGAACATATTTTAGAACTTTAATTTTCTGCATTAATCTACATAAGGAATGGATTTGCAAAGCAGCACTGGGGAACATGGCTGTGTTTGATCTTAAAAGGGGCCAAATTTGGGGCTGATTTATACTCCTGGCAATCTTACTGCTTTAAAAAGTTGGCAGTAACTCAAGGAGAGAAATAAAAAGTGGGCCTTGGGGCAAATTTAATTTAGAAAAGTTCTGATGTATTTCAGAGGATTCTGAAGGCAATATCAAAAAAATATTTTCAAAAGGCAATTGAGAAGCTGAATTGCCCAGGTGGACAAGGAGTACAGTAGTGAGCAACAAGCAGATCTCCCCTAGCAAGGCCACCTTCCTGTTCTCTACTGTCCTCCCAATCTGCCCACACCTGTGACAGACACTCATTTTGCATGTCTAGCAGCAACAAAACATAATACAGCTCCAGACATAATACAGCTCCAGCCATAATATGGCTCCACTCTATCTGTTTCTTAGGTTTTATAAGGCACTTGTTTGTTGAGGCCCAAGAATTTATAGCACTTTTCTCATTCTTCCGAGGATGAATGTTGTCTTCATTAATCTTAAATGTATGCCCCAAGCTATGATTCTATTCTTTACTTTTGCATATGTAATACCGTGAGATACAAAATCCTAACTGCCACTAAAACATAATGCAATCTTTGGAGACCTCAAACAGCAACTAAAATCAATACATGTATTGTCAACACTACAAATGACTTGATATAAGAAGCCGTGACCAAATTTACATGTGTGATTTTACAGACAAAAGCAATGAGTTATGAACACTGCTTTCTGGATAAAGACTATAAAGTTATTTTGATTATAACTTTAGTGACATTAACATTTTTAAAATGTTAGTGACATTAGTGACATTAACCAGTTAGTGACATTAACATTTTAAAAATAAATATGCACTGACTATAAAATACACTATGTGTGGATTTGGGGAAAAAGAGCTAATGTTAATGATGGTGAGTTTTCTGCATGATTATAAAGGTATACATGCTGCCTCCTTGGAGACTTGACTATGAAATAATCATTGTTCTGATTCTAAAACATTTTCAAAAGCAAGCAATAGATGTACAAGGCCTATTTCACTACTAATCTTGTTAAAAACACAAATAATAAATCAAGCAAGAAAAACTGTTTATTAAAATAATTGAATAATATAGCATATTTTCCCCAAATTAAATGATTAACCATAAAGCACTGGAGCTACATAAATCATTCCTAATGTAATGTCAGACCATTCTTATAGTGTCCATAATTTTAACCCTTAAACTTCTTTCAATTCTGTGTATGACAGCAAATTAACTTGAAATTGGAGATGAACTGAAACAAAACTCTATTCGGAAAGGTCATGTAATAAAGGCAGGAGAAGGTCATCCCCACCAGAATCCCCGTAGTTATTTACCACCCTTTGTTGGAAAGGGCTGTGTCCCGCCACAGTAATCACCAGCTCCCACAGACCGCAGGCGTCAAGGGGGGAGATGGCTCTGTGAGAAGTTGTGAGAGCAGGTCTTTGCCCACTGTGCCTCCTGAAGGATAAATCACTTTTTATTGTAAAAGATTCAACTTCAAATCCATGAGTACTGTTGTGCTCTGCTCATCAATTCACAGCATCACACCACACCACATGTTTTACACCTCATCAATGTATATCAACTGTGGTTCAAATTTAGCAATCATATCTTAATTCAACCCCATTGATATTTTTGTGAGAAGGCAAAAACCACTCAGTAGAAGTCACTGTTTTGAAATAAAATATGGTTTTCAAAAGATTTATTTTAATTGTATTGTTTTAGTATAAAAATAAACAAAAACAACTTAGGTGGCTCTGTCCATTTCTTAGCACTCTTCTTCTGTCAAGAGCCCTAAGAGTTCTCCTATGTGTGATAATTAATGTGGAAACACACATCCTTCTAAAAAATAAAGTGGTTTGACAGTGTACTTATTGATTAACAATGGTACATTTTCTAAGCATAAACTGTGACTTGAAGACATTACAGAAAACTGTTCATTATTAGGGGCTATCATTTTCATATTCTTCCATTTTTACATGGAAATGTAATACAAATATGTGAGCATTATTAATCAAGTTAAAAATATAATGGCTCACAAAAACTGAAGAATCTAAAATAAGAGTAATTTAAGTATCCTCATCTGTATCAGAGACATGTCTTTGAGCAATTCATGATCTCCCCCTACTGCATCTGGAAAGTGAAAGTTTAATGTATTCTATGATTTCCAAGGTTAGTCCCAGCTTAAACATTTTGTGATTCTAAAGACACAAAAATCTGCTAGTGAGATATGGTTTATTTCAATATGAATAGGCAGTTTTGTTGTTTAGTCATCTTCATATAAATTAGAAAATTAAACCTCACAAAAATTAAATGCCACAAGATACTGTGTATAGTCAATATTTTCATGAGGCTATGCAGTGACAGATGACTTCTAGAACTAGTGGTACGACCTCATTGCAAGGTAGAAAAAAGTTGAATCACTATGTGATACTTCTGAAACCAACTATTCTTAAATAAAACAAATAAACTGAGCCATGGGCGGTGGGGCTCAGTTGGCTGGAATGTCATCCCATGACCTAAAGGTTATAGGTTTGTTCCCTGGCATGTACAACCCCCAATCTGGGCATGTACAAGAGGCAACCCATTGATACTTCTCACTCCCATCAATATTTCTCTCCTCCCTTTCTTTCTCCCTTCCTCTCTCTCTAAAAGCAATGAAAAATATGTCCTTGGGTGAGGATAAAAATAAATGCATAAATATAAATTGAAAAATATTGTGTCAATATTCATCATTATGAATCAAAATAGACTACTGTATTATTCGGCATAAAATCACACATACTGTCACTTGAAGAGCCTTCTGAACTTGAAATGCCTTCCACTACTTGACAACCTAATTTGGTCAAAGACATAAAACTGCACTTTACTGAGAACCAGATACTGAGTTTGTCACTGACTTTCCCATGTACAGAGAATAAATGTTATTCTGAGAAACAGCATCAATTTATATACTATTTAAATATACAATTGAAGGAAAAAACTTGTATTCTAGACTATAATTGGGTAATTAATCATGTTCTTTAATAAAAGGCACATATTTCTTAATATCCAATATTTCTACCATGTTTCATTACTATGTAAAAATCTTCAAATATGTTCCTATGACTTCCCAATTTAATATTCATAGCAATGTGATTGTAAAGTAAATCTAATAAAATTTAGTGTGAAAATTGTATCTATAGAATGCACCTTCCTTGCAATAAAGTCTAGCTTACAAAAATAACCACAAATATCCAAAATTTTATTTAAAAGTTAAATTTCATGGTTTGGTAGGCTGCAACAGTTTTACCCCTGTTTGAAATAATTATAAACACAACACTCTACTTAATTATATTTACTAAAATTTATCATATTAGAAGACAATTGGTAAACTGCAGTATTTATGTCTGTAATCTTTATTATTCAGATAATTACATGGTCCCTTGCTTCAGATTCACTCTTCTGAAGGTATATTACCACCTTGAATATTTTAGTTTCCATTTTTAGCTTACTTAGTACATTAATAAAATAAAAACCTGTCTTTACCCGTTGGAATTTATAAATATAACTGACAAAATCATGCCTCTGCATGCTGTTTTATAATTCTGATTTTGGTGATACAAACCTCATGTGATAAAATGCCTAGTAAAAAAAGTATTTTGAAGAAAACAGTACACAATTTTTAAGTTTTATTATTTTATTTTTAAAGATATTTTGTATTTATTTTTATTATTAGATAGAGGGCAAGGGAGGGCAAAAGAGATGGAAACATCAATGTGTGGTTGCCTCTCGCATGCTGCCCTAATGGGGACTGGACTGCAACCCAGACATGAGCCCTGACTGTGAGTCAAACCAGTGACCCTTCATTCGCAGGCCACCACTCAATCCACTGAGCCGCACCAGCCAGGGCCAATATCATAATTATTTTTATGTAGCCTCCTGATTATAGAAGACTGATAGTTATAATCCAAGGGTCTAATAAAAACTATACTGCTGTCCTAGTTATAATAATTCCCTACAAATTGGCTCATGCTATATATTTAGCATTATTCTGAAGTAACTCTGTTTTATAAAAATATATGTTTTAATATGAACCAAAACATAATCAAGTGAGTGTGCATATATGAACAAATACTAAACCATTTACATGTAAATAAATGATTAAAATACCTAATTTTGCTTCCCACATTTACAGAACGAAAGTGTTATCACCTTCAGTTGAAAATCTCTCATCACTGTCATTTTTAAAAGTTTTTGTCCCTCAATGTCAGTATCAAGTATGTGTGCATATTTATATAATGAAACTTTAAATATTTATTTCATTGAAATCAATCAATAAAATATATTATCTTATTCTTATCATTTTTTCTGAACTCTATGAGAACAAAGCATATGACAGTACCTTGGGATACTGTTTCACAGGAATCAATACCCTTTCTGAGAGCTTTATGTTTTTGTTGCTGATGACATCAAGATATTTCTTTTCTTCATCTTCTTTCTTTCCATCAGAACCTTGAAATTTTTCAATTTCTGAAAAAAAAAACATGAGAAAAAATAAGTGAAATAGAAAGTGACTGTAAATATGCTGATTGTTATTACTTCCCTTAAGATTTTGAAGAATCTTTATAAAGGGACTGAAACAGCACTGTGTTAACAGCCACATGAATGCTGCTACTGATATAAGTCAACCTCTGTCAATTAAAATTAAAAAGTGCTAATTGAAGATGTGGCGGTCTTCTTTGAAACAGATGATGAATTTAATTAACTTTAATATCTTCAAACACCATATAAAGAAAAATCATGTCCTTTAACTATTTAAAATATCTAAGCACTGTGAAATTAAATTATCCAAGCAAACAATTCATAGGAGCAATGAATAGAATGAAATGTACTTTAAGGTTATGTTTTATTTTTATTCAGAATTATTCCTAAACAAAAATAATTAAGAATACTAACCATCTATTATCTATGATAGGGTAGTAAAGATTAATAACATGTTATATACTTTGTAACCAAACTTAAAGGCAATTAAAAGAGGGGTCACAGAAAAGTTATATAAAGGATTAAATATGTAAATGATATCATTCAAATTCATCTATATAAAATTATCTCTCTGCATGTTTAAGAGAAATTACTAATTTTGCCCCATGAGAATATTTCCAAAAAGGATATTTTTGAGCATATGTATATTGTTTATACATTTTTCTTTTTAAAATTAATTTATTCTCCCAAGCTTTTCAAACCTCTAATGTGAGTACTGTGTATAGAACAGACAACAAGAAAATGTATCTTCTTTTATGGAATCTATGTTCTGATAGGTAATAAGAACAATTAAAAACTGAATATATGTACACACTCATATTTATGTATGGAGGTAAAAATAAATACAATGATGCTATTAAAATATAAGGGAAAGTTGAATAAAGGAGTGGGGCTATTCCTTTAGGTTTATGGGGTAATAATTGAGCAGAACCCTGAAAAATGAGAAAAATAAATTCATGAGAGATAGAGAAATCAAGCTTTAAAGTCTGACAGAGAAATGGCTTCACTTGCTCGAGCTCTGACAGGTGCTTAACAGGACAGATCATGTAAGACCCTGTAGACAAGTGACATTTTCTGCTTTTTTGTTGTGAATGTAATGGGCAGCCACTGGGTAGTTTTGGTGCAGAAGGGAGGAAGTCATATTTGATTTTTACTTGTAAAGATAACACCAGATATAATATGCAAAACCAATCACAGCAGAGAGCAAGCAAACAAGGAAACCAACTTGTACTTGTCTAGCTGTGAAATGATGCTGACTTGGTCTGACGAGGTGGAGACACAATGATGTGTATGCAGCTAAAATCACTTCATGGAATTCACTATGTAAAATCAATGTTTTGATGAAATCTTGGAAAATTAATATCCCATATTTTTATATTTATTGGCCAGTTATTATTACCATAAAATAACCTATAAGTATTTATTTTCTCCTTGCTCTTGCCCACCTGTACTATTTCGAAGCACTTCTTAAAATATGAATGTGTCAGTTTCTATTTTATTATGTTTTTTAATTTTGTTAGAGATGAAACACATTCCTGTAAAATCCCTGTAAAAAATTATTTTTGAAGATCACATTTCTTACCAGATAATGTATGAATGAATGCCACAGTTTGTATAAAGTCATTTGCAATCACTTTTTTCAGTTATATGCTATAGTCTTCCTAGAGACAATTATCTTAAACTGAGCTGTCTAAAAAGAAGTTATTTGTAATATGTCTATAATTTCTACTTCCTATGATGGCATCAGATTCTTACTTTTATACTCCAGAGCAATTACAAGTGACTTTGACTGTCTTTTTAAACCAAAAAACACTCCCTATTTAACACTTTCCATCCACCATATAACCATTACATATAGAACTCTGACAACTACAAAGAAAGAATATTCTTTCTATCCTCTGATACTGACAATAAACTTGTGATCACTGCCCTCCGGGTACATGCACCTATATCACATTGTACTTCCTAGCTCGCTGAGGTAATTGTAACATAGGACACACTAAAGAAGCTGGCTCAATTCCTAATCTATTAAATGTCTAGTTTCCCCTTGTCACTCTTTCATAAAAATAAATTGAATTTGTCTGATGTTATTTGCTCTCTACAAAACTACAACCTTAGGCATTTTTAGATGGTTCCAATTTGATTCATTGACGATTAATTCCAATAACTTTTTTACCATGAAATAGAGCTGAATGAAATATTATTTTCACTGCTCTTTCTGTTCATTTCTACACTTTCATTTAAATTTTTTTAATGTTTCTTTTGCCCTTCTACTACTTTCAGGGAGTTATCTTGTCTTCTCTTACATATCTACATGACTAAGAGCTCAGCAATTGCATTTGTCAATGACACATGTCATATATACTTGCCTAGTGTTAAAATCAGGGAAAATGATATACACAGTACCTTCATTTTTAAATGCTTACTCTAAAGTAATTCTTTTTCCATCTCACAATTAATGCACGCTCCTTGTGAAACAATTTAAATATAGATATCTGTTAAAATCGAAAGGCACCCATTATCATCCAGCAATAACTGGATAGTTTTATGTAGAAGTGATAAAGCATTTTTTATACTTTAATAGTCTATTTAAATTTGGCTGCTGTATTATTTGGAAAACATATTCAATATATTAAGGCAGAATTTTTTTTTGGGGGGGAAATGTTAAAACTACACAGATTTTACTGGACAGGCACTTTTAACAGCTAAGATACAGAGGCCCTCGTGGACTTTAGAATTTCTTGTTCCCCTTTCACCATTGGTAGGTTAATGTATACATTCACTCAATAATTTATGTTTACACTTACTGACATTTTTAATGGTTATCACCACAAAACTAGGATTATGTGGAAATTACAATAGAGGCAACCTTTGGTTATGCAGGTCATCAACCTTTCACTATTTACACCACATGTTTAAGTCAGATGGAAGCTATGTAAAAAAGGCAATTTTGTTGTGGTAAAAGCACATAATGTTATTCATCATCTTAATCATTTTAAGCATATAGTTCGTATATAGTTCAGCAGTGTGACATACATTCATGTTGTTGTGCAACAGATCGCTGGAACTTTTGCATCTTCCAAAAGTGAAATTCTAGAGCCATTAAAAACTCATTTTCCCTCTCTGTCCCCCAGGCCTTAGTAACCACCTTTTTTACTTTCTGTTCCTGCAATTTTAACCACTTTAGATACTTTGTATGAGTGAAATATAACCATATTTGTTATTTTGTGACTGACTTATTTGACTTAGCATAATGCCCTTGAAGTTCATCCATGTTGTAGCATATGATAGAACTTTTTCCTAAAAATCTGTATGTTCCATTGCATGTATATACCACCTTTTCTTTATCCATTCATCTGTTGATGAACATTTGAGTTGTTTCCATTTCTTGACTATTGTGAATAGTGTATCAGTGAACATGGGTATGCATGTATCTCTTCAAGATCATGCTTTAAATTATTTGGATATATACACATATGACAGATTGCTAGATCAAATGGTAATTACATTTTTTATTTTTTACGGATTTTCTGAACTATTTTCCAAATGACTATAAATTTTTGGTCAGGACTTGTGAATATTACATGAAAAGGGTTATATTCTCTATTGTTGGGCAAAGGTTGAATATAAATCAATAAACCATTTTTTACTCATTCAGAATCCACCTTGAAATTAAAAAGGTATATGAGCATGAATGGATCTGGAGAGCATTGTGCTAAGTGAAATAAGCCAGGCAGAAAAAGACAAATGTCATATGATCTAATTCAAACATGGAATCTAATGAACAAAATAAACTTACTAACACAATAGTGAAGGACTCTAAGATAGAGAAAAGGCTGACAGCTGGCAGGGGGACAGGCTGGGTGGGCAGCGGAGTGGTGAAGGAATTGAGCAACTAAATGATAAAAAAAGAAGAAGCAGTTCATGGACACAGACAACAGAGTGGTGATTGCTAGAGATGGTGGTGGTGGAGGAAGGTAGAGGGAGGTAGAGGAGGGTGTAAGGTGAATAAATGGTGATGGATGGAGATTTGACATGGGGTGATGAACACACAACACGGTCTATAGATGATGTGTTGTGGAATTATTCATCTGAAACCTCTATAATTTTGTTAACCAGTGTCACCCAAATAGATTCAATAAAAGGAAAAAAAAGAAGTGTGTGAGAATTCATTGAAATATGTATGTAAAAGAGGATAAACTTAATTTGAAAAAAATCTGCTATTTTGCTCTACAAAATATATGAGGCACATGTCCACAAACAGAGCAAAAGTGCTTCTATAACTTCCATTTTCCTCCAGTGGCTTCATTTTTGAATCTCAATTATCAAAGAAGTAAGACAGAGCACCTAGGATAATAAAAGATTTTAAAAATCTGATGTCTAGAAACCATATAATGTATGACAAAAAAACATAGTTACTTAGGTAACACAGGCATACCAGGATCTTAGAAAACAAAACAACAAATATTTCCTTTTTTAAAGACAAAGTCCTTATCTGAGGAGGACAAAAAAAAAACTATTTTAAGAAAACTCACAAAGCATGAAGAAAGGACACAAATCTAGTTGAATGAACTATTCTGATAGAAACCTTCCAAGAGAACAGGAACAAGTTTCTCATTTAAATATTAACTGGAGAAACATATTGTGTTAAAACTCATATAAGTAAACTACAAGCAAACAAAAAAAAGAAAAATGAACTAAGTAATGTTAACATATTGGTAGAAAATGAAAGCAGACGAGAAACATATGATAACAAAGCAGAAAGGCACTAAATATAATATTAAAATGAAGGAAAATAAAGCAATGAAACTATAAAAGCAATAACAGACTATATGTCAGAAATAGAAAAGAGTTATATAAAAAGCAATTAAATTAGAGGAGCATATAAACAGAGCTGTCACAGTACAAGAATGAAATAGAATTTATTTCATAAATGAAGAACTAAAAGTAAATCAAGACTAAACATACAACAGAACAGAAATAGAAAC